TGGAATGGAAATCAGAGTAAAATTTCGCAATATGACAAGTCAATTATACTCCTATGACACTAAAATCAATGGCTAAGATATACCATCATCTTAATAACATGCAAGGATATTTATGTGATTTTATATATATTCACTTCACTTCCCTCCTCTTTATTAGAACTCCCAAAGAATATGAAATAGATTTACTTCCGTTCCCTTATTGAACCCTTAAGTAACATTTTATCTTTGGGAAAATCCCCTTTTAACCCAAAGTTTTACCCCCAATTATTTTAAAACCCATCCACTTTACTGAAAACCAAAAAACTCATTATACCCATTTGGCTTAGTTTTAAACCCAATGCTCCTTATACCTCTTTATCTCTATACCGTATTTCCCCCAAAATAGAGAAACCCGACTTTGCCCTTTCTCTCTTCTTCTCATCACCGTCAACAGTAGGCATTAATGGCGACAATGGCGGGAGAAAAGGGCGGGCTACACTCAGTCTTCACAAACCCCCAATTTGGTCCCCATCTTCAATTACTCTCTCCTTCTCTCTCTCCTCCATTAATTTCTCCTCTCTTCTTGAGAAATCTCTCTCCTCCATTAATATTTCTCTTCATAGAAGACATTAATCCTACATCAGATCAGTGGTTGAGATCTCATGTTCGTTTCTTGCAGTAAAAGAAGACATTTAAAGGTAACTATAAAGTGATTGAGATCCCATCCTTATATCTTGATTTGTTGAAATGTCTAAATTTTTAAATGAGAAAACCTTTATCATGTTGAGACTACTATTTTCTCATGAGAAAACCCTAATTCTGTTGATTACATCATTTGTAGTGAGAGTTTGGAAAGTGCTATACTTTCTTTAAAAAGTGCTATGAAAAGCTAAGCAATGTACCCGTTCTATATTTTCTTTATTTGATTCACAAAATAAAAATCATTTGTTCCTCATTTCTATAGAATGTAGAAAAATCTGGTCTTTGAATATTTAGGAATGAATATTGAATTATATTGTATAGAAACATAGAGAATTGCATATTGAATGCCGATGTTGAATTATATCGTATACAATAAGAAAATGCATGTTAGACTTGTGTTTGTTTGGTAATATTTGATTGTTAGTTAGTTCCCCACTTATTTTATTTTTTATGAATTTCAGTAATGGAAGAAGAGCTATATTGTGCAATTATGGACTTTAGAGGAAACAATCATTTGATTCCAATGAATATCAAGGGGACTTTCAGTAATTTAGTGGCCGAGGTGCAAAGTAGAATTGCTTTTTTTTCAAGCCCAGTGAAGCTGACTTATGAAGTCCCATATACAGAAGAATTGTTTGTACGTGTCCATGATGACGTCGATTTGTCAACAATGTTCGATGTACATCTAAGTTGCAAGAAGAAGATAGTTAAGATGCATGTTGACATAGATCGAGATACATTATTTGGTCTAGAGGAAAACACCATTCACATAAGGTAAGAACTTATTGTATATTGTGAGGTCCATATTTCACAAAATTAATCCATGTTTATTTAATTTCTCTGTAGTTCAAAGAAAAATTATGACGATATAATATGTCGGCAATTAGCTGTAGTACTAGATAAGAATTTTCATTAATGTTTCTAATTGCTAGTCTTATAAGGTAACTGCTTTATGTTTGCAGGAATCCTACCATATCTCTTTCGGAACAACATGCATCCTCGACGCATAATCTATCCAATTCAGAAAATGCATTACGTGAAGTTGAGAGATCTAGTATTCAGATTCCTATTTCATGGTATCATGCCATTAGAAGTGTCGGACAAGAATTTAATGATGTTGAACATCTAAGGCAAAGTCTTGGAAATTACTCAATTGCTCTCGGTTTTAACTTTGCTTATTTGAAAAATGAACCTAGAAGATTGATAGTAAAATGCAAAGGTGCTGACTGTGAATGGATGGTCCATTGTAACCGTCGTACAGACTGCAAACGGTTTTACGTGAAGAAAATTGGTCGTGCACATAGTTGTCTCGGAGGAGGCATAGGAGAGAAGGGACATCCACGGGCATCTCGTAAGTGGGTTGCAAATATTGTGAAATCCATACTAAAAGAACAACCCACCTACCGCGCAATTGATCTTAAAAAGAAGCTTCTGAGAGAGTTTGGCGTTGATATCCCCTATGGAAGAGCTTGGTGTGGGAAAGAGCTTGCTCAACAGGAGTTATATGGGTATGCAAAACATTCATATGAACAACTTAGATGGTACAAGGATAAAGTTATGGAAACTAACCCAGGATCAATCGTCCATCTAGAACATGAAGATGGCAGATTTACTAGATTTTTTATCTCATATTATGCTTGTTGGAAGGGTTTTGTCGAGGGATGTAGACCAATTTTATTCTTGGATGGCACCCATCTTTTTGATAGGTACAAGGGAACTCTACTTGCTGCTACTGCTTTGAATGGAGATGGAGGAATGTTTCCTGTCGCTCTTTGTATTTGTGGAACCGAGAATGAGAGCAATTGGGAGTGGTTCCTTGAATGCATTCGTGACGTATTGTACAATTCAGATGATCCATATACTCCGAATGATGAGCTGGTTATAATCTCTGATCGAGACAAAGGACTTCAAAATTCCGTCAAGAATTGCTTCCCTTGTTCATATCACAGTTATTGCATCCGCCATTTAATGGCCAATTATAAGAACAACTTGTCAAAGAAAAGGTTACCAGCACCACTTAGGGATGATTGTGTTCAAATTATGAAGAGAGCTGCCTATGCCTACACAATGCATGCTTATCATAATGAATGCAACGAGCTCCAGAATAAGTCATCTATTGCTTTCATTGAAATGCTGAATATGAGCCCACAGAACTGGGCTAATTGTTATTTTCCTGGAAAGAGGTCACCATTTTTACATATTTTTGGTCTTTGTGATTGAACTCTCTGATATGTGTGTTTGAACATGTATAACATTTGAATAATCCTATAGCTATAACATGGTTGCAGGTATGGGTGGTTAACCTCAAATCTAGCTGAGTCCTTCAACGCATGGATTAAGGAAGCCCGATTTTTACCGATAGCGCAGTTGGTTGATCACATCCGGGTGAAGATGATGAAAATGAGCTACGATAGACGTGAGGAATCCAACAAATGGACTACACCACTTGTTCCTAGTGTAGAGGAGCATCTTGTCCTGATCAACGAGGGTGCACGTTGTCTTCATGTTAATCCTTCTACGTCGATTCTGTATGAAGTATATGATTCCCCATCTGTTAGAGTGAATTTGGAGTACCGCACGTGTACTTGTCGCCAATGGCAAGTTCTTG